AAAATAGATAAATAAAATAAATATTTTAAAAATTCATTAAAAAAAGAAAAACTGCTATTGTGTTTGAGCAGCTAGACCTTTGTAGGTCTATTTGTTAGAGCTGTTATCATTAAACTGACAGTACATGTTTAAGATATTCTTTATTAAATCTGAGATTAGAACAATACCTCCTGCATTTTCTTTTCCAAAAGAACTGAAGAATTTCAACAAAGAACTGGATGGATTATTGGGCTGTAACCAAAAGCTAAGCGATATAGTCTGGCAAGTGGGGCTTGGACAATTAAAAATCATTAAAATGGGGGGCCCAATTATGATAAGCCCTTTGCTCACCAAAAAGAATCCAGCGTGGGTTCTGAAGGGGACAGGATGCCAAGACAGATGTTCTAGTCCAATCATTCAAAGTGGCAATGCAATCTCTGCTCACCAAGATGAATAGCCACGGAGGCCCCCAAGCCATGCTGTGATCATTCAATGATCCTACATCCACTGTGACACCTGCTGGGGCAATACCGGTTACTGCAGACTGTTCAGAATCCTGCCAGAAGGTAAGCTTGTGAGAAGCAAGGGCTCACCCGCTCTACCTCGGCTGACTCCACCGCACCTGCCTGGTAGACAGCCCCACCCCGAACCCTCGCTAGGAACCACAGATGCTTGTTACACTGCTGGGGTTACTGCGAGGGCACAGACCCTGCCCCTGCAGTTCCCACCCCAGAGGCCCCAGGAGCTTCCCTTTTACCTCTGTGCCATTGTCCTGGAGACTTTGAAGTTCCAAGCAGGAACTAGGACCTTCCAGAATAGAGCTCAGAAATTTTAAAAACAAAGATGAGCTAAGACAATAGATTTAAATGACTTTATAACTCCTCTCCCAGTTCCCATCAGGTGTTCTATCACTTTGTTAACAAAAACCTAGATTTACCATTTTGCAAGGCGCTGTGCTAGGTGCTATGGGAAAATACAGATAGTGACAAGATAGTTCCCAACTGTTCTGGGCTGAATTGTGTGCCCCTCGCAAAACCCATGCACTGGAAGCCCTAACCCCCAGTGTGACTGTATTTGGAGACAGAGCACTTAAGGAGGTGATTAAGGTTAAATAAGGTCATACGGGTGGGGTCCTCAAGGATAGGGATGGTGTCCTTATAAGAAGAGGAAAGAGACACCAGGAGTGCACAGGCACAGAGGAAAGTCCACAGTGAGAAGTCAGCCGTAGGCAAGCCCAGGAGAGGGCTCAGAGAAACCGACCCTGTGGACAGCTCAGAAAACGCCAGTGTCTTGGTTTTGTCTCCAATTCCTTTCCTAATCGATCTCATCACTTAGGTTGTCAAAGCACAAAGCTGGGCTGGGAGTGGGTGAGGGAAACGTGGGAGGGGGGCATTTCCCCACATCCTGCCAGGGGTAGTAACTACGAATCTCTTGCCCCCTACGCTACCCGCAGCCGGAAACTCCGAGTCGCGGGGATGGTGCGGGAACCAAGAACCTGCAGACGCTACAACAACCTGTAGCACAAATAGAACGAGTTCCGGAAAGCTTACCGGAATCTCGTCACGGTTCCGCCCCCTCGGAACTCCACCCCTATTGGTGTTCTCTAGGAATCCAGGAGGTGTCGCTGTCTCGGTGGTTCCTCTATAAATCTAGGGAATTTAACCTCCTCCTCAGTTGAGGAAAAAGACCAAGATTTAGCGGCGCGTCTTCACTAATGGGAAAGAAGTAAGGAATTGATGGGGAATCTAGCCTCCTGGGTGGAAGGTGCAGGTCACAAGTTTTGAGAACTAGCACATGGGTGTCTCTTTCTAATTGTTCCTTCTGCAGGGAAAGGACTCCAAGCTGATGACATTGACCTGGTCGCACTCAGATGGCTCTGATACTTTTGTGAAAACAACAACAAAAAATTGATAGAATCAATCACAGGCTTCCTCCCAGCCCCAATACCGTAGCAAACATTTCTGTAGAATTCAACCAACGTGCTCCGGTCACGCATTTAGTGATGTGATTGGAATGCAGAGTCTACTGTCCTGTTCCTTTTCTGCCTTTAGTCCTTTACAACATTTTAATGTTAAAAAACGATAACGAAACAGCGTCTTGAGCAAACAGATTTTGCTCCAACTTGCCGCAAAATTGAGGAAACAAAATACATGACCCTAACGTTTTGTTTCCCTTTCCTTTCAGAGGTTTAGAAGGTAAGGTGATGATGGATGTGATGACTGAAAGGCAGAAAAGAACTTCACAGTCGAATGTTCAGATCATAACACTCTTCTAACTTTTTTCTGCCACCAGATGATGTATGACCCCGGATCAGCATAGTTTTCAGCTCACTAAGAAGTTTCTGGCAAACAGAGCTGTTTTTAAATGGAAGAGGCTGTCCTGGGAAGCAACAAGCTCCCCATCAGTGGAAGGATTTCATACAGAAACTGGATAATCAGATGCCAGGAAATGTTTTCTCCAGCTCAACAAAGTAATTATACACTTGGTGCTTGCACATACCTACAATTGAATGGCGATTCCTCCATTGGGTGGGAGGAATGATCAAACCCTTTACAATTCTAAGATTCTATTACTGTATGACTTTATCATATCTTGGATCAAAACTGTCTTTCACACAAACTGACAAGAACAGCGTTTCATCACTTTGTAATGTTTGATGTTTAATCATCTAAGACATAGTAGAGTTTGGTGCTTAAGAGCTTAGCTTTTGGAGACAAAGTGATCTTGGTTCAAATGCTCGTTCTGCCACTTATTGGGTGTGTGACCTCGGGCAAGTGAATTAACTATTCTACCTCAAGTATTTCCCAACTGTAAAATGAGGGTGCTAAAAAGTGAAGCCACCTCATAATGTGAGGATTAAGTGAGGTGATCCACATAAAGCACTAAGCATGATGTTTAGAACACAGTAAATGCTCGACAGACATTAACACCAGGCTTCACTGAAGTTGTCATTCTCATTCAAGTCCTATATCACCTTTAAGTCTTAATCACCTTTAACTCTGTAATTCTGTTTGCAGGCAACAAGAGTCTCCTTGAGGGCTACCAACGAGGCCCTCTGACACTCACAGGTTGCATTAAGTTGGTGGATATTTGTCCTGAGCGTGTTATTTTCTCTCTTAAAGCAATCAGTGGCTTTCAGCAAGAGCCACTCAATTCCATAATCCTTACATTATTTTCATTTTGTTCCTCAAACCTTACCCAAGTCAGTGCATCCCCTTCTACCTGAATTCCATCCCAGTTCACCAAAGTGAATGTCTCCCAATTGAATGGCCGCCACACGCCCGAAACTACCAATGCCCTGCCCACCATCAGTGACGTGGTCCTCGTTGCCTCATGGTGAGTGGCCAGCTCCACAGGGCATTCTTACAGGACTACTCATGGTACCACACATCAGATCACGTTCCCTAAAGCAGAGCCTGAGACAAGGATTCAGAGCCATGTGATTTGTTGAAGGCGTGGAGGGGATGAGGGGATGGTACAGGAGCATGGATGTAGTCTAATAAAGTCTAGCCTCAGCCTGATCCACAATGGGTGGGTCTGAAGCATAAACTGCACCAATTTCCCACCTTGAGGCACGTGAATCAGCCCTTTGTACCCCCATGTCAATCCATCATTGGCTGGGGGGTGGAGAGGACAGCTAACTCCCGAATGGGGCAGCTCTGATCACCTGAGGGCAATTCCCTCAGAGTCTCCGGAGAACAGGGTGAGCTGTGAGCACTTGGCAGACAAAACTCAGAGCAGCTGGGGGATGGGTATGGCAGCCTGGTAAAGGGGATCTGGACCAGGTACCATTGTACAGCACACAAAATCAACAGGTATTTATTGGGTGTTTATTTGTAAGCCAGACAGTCAGCAGAAGCAGGACTTCGGTGGCGCCCAGAAGCGCCTCTCCCTCTCTCTAGCAAACAGGCTCAAGTTTACCCTCTTTTCCATGTCATCATCCTTCCCCCACAACCCCTACCCAGACCTTCCCACAGGCAGGGCTCACCAGACCAGGACCTCCCTGCATCTACTAATGTTTACTTTCAAATCCAGCTGCAACTCAAGTTGAAACTCCTTCTCTATGCCATTATCCTATGGGGGAGATCTATCTCCCGGGCAACTGGGAGTTGGTACATCTACTGCTTGGACAATTCTTGATTCAACTTGGTCCAATTCCTTCTATAGATATAGCAGCCCTCATTCTTGTGGGTAACAGAATAACCAGTCCACAGTCTGGCCCGTCTTCTCTTCTCTATTCCCCTTAGGTCCCGCTCCCCTCTCCCCAGGCTGTGACTGACCAACACAGTTTCTCCTGAATTTACAAACTTAACTTCTCTTTCTACTAGCTAACCATGATGCCAGGAGAATCAAGACAAAACAAAAGGGTAGAGTGTGTTTCATGGAGAAGTTGTAGCTTGAATAAGGCAGCGAGAACACATACCATCCAGCCTCTGAACCTCAATTTTGCCAAAATAGAAATACCTTAAGTCAACTTCTTTTGAAAAGGTTTAATACTCAAGATGAGAACGTCGCCTGGAGCATTCCAGTGGCTGGCATCACCACGTCTAGAAAAGGTTCATTGCTGAGGTACCAAAACCAAGATCATGCTGAAGGGTTCTGTCTTTCACTGTGCTCTTCCCTGAATAGATAGGCTGTCAAACAAGGCAGAAACTACAAATGAAGCTTATTCCTACTGCATTTGTGAGGCTTTTCCCACTGTCAATGTTCTGAGTCACATGAAGAATGAGTGCCATCTGAAGGCTTCCCTTCGTCCACTGTATCCTTAGGTTCTCTCCTGTCTAGACTCTCAAGCTTGAATATGCAAACGAACGCATTTCTCAGTGGAAAAGCAGCTATCTATCTGCCGTGGATGCTCCAGTGTCCTAAGTTCTAACTGAAGGATCTCAACAGATCCATAGGTTTGATGGTTAAGTTGGAGGAGATGCTTGAAGTTGGTATTACATTCGTTATAGGAGTAGGGTTTGTCTTCAGGAAGGCTTCTCTAAAATCGTGTAAGAGCTGTTCTACAATAGAAACCTCTAGACACTTAAGGTATTTATGGGATCTGTCCTCTCATGACTTCTCAGATGTTTAAAGAGGCTACAACTCCAACTGAAACTCATTCCGCATTCTTTACATTGAAAGGGTTTCTCACCAGTATGGATCCTCTGATGTTGATTAAGATGTGCCTTCAGAGCAAAGCCTCTGCCACATTCGTTACATTGATGGGCTTTCAGGTTGGAATAGCTTTTTGGATGTTGTTTTGTGTGGGAACACTGGCCAACGCCTTCTCTACACATATCCCATTTATAGGTTTTCTCTGCAGTATGAGTTCTGTAATGCTGAATGAGCTCTGAACTGTAATGAAAGGCTTTGCCACACACATCACACTTATAAGGCTGCTCTTGCAACTCAACCTTCTTATCCTCAATCACCGTTAAGTTCCAGCTGTATGCTTCCCCGCGGATGCTATTTTGTTCATTTTTCTGGCCCATGTGGAGCACCTGGTGTTCAATGAGGCTAACATACTGAAAAAAGATTTCTCCACATTCATGACACCGATGGGATTTCTCTCTCGAGTGGAGCCTGAGATGCCCAGCAAGGTGTGAACGTCTCCCAAAGCCTTTCCCGCACTCATTACACTTAAAGGGCCTCTCCCCACTGTGCACACTCTGGTGCTGAACAAGGTGGGACCTCACTCTAAATGCTTTCCCACACAAGGGACAGGTGTAGGGCTTCTCCCCAGTGTGGACCCGCTGATGCTGAGTTAGGTGTACACGCTGATTGTAGCTTTTCCCACACTCGTCACACCTAAATGGTTTCTCCCCGGTGTGTATTCGCTGATGCTGGATAAGATGTGCACTCTGAATAAAGCTTTTCCCACATTCGTTACATTTATGCGGTCTCTCTCCGGTGGAGGACTTTTTGTGGACATACGTGACTTCGCTGAAATTCATCCTCTTTGAAGAGGGTTGTCCTAGGATCTCTTTCATGGGAATTCCCTGCTTTCTATCCAATTTACCCTGGTGTTCATGGCCTTCTCCCAAATCTTGAACCTGAGAAACATTTCTTGGGATTATTCCTGTTGGTTCCATGTCTGCTTCTGAAAATTCTGAAATTTTCTTCTTAACATTCAATTTTGTATTCTTACTTCTTTTATCATTGCCTGAAAAGATAAAGAGGAAACACAAATGTTATCAGTTCTTTTACAGAAGAAAAATAAACTATCAGGCAAAAGAGGATAATCAAATGAAACTACGATGTAATAGGAGTGACAAAGGCGGGGTGATGGGTGCATGGACGTGCTTGATGCTAACAGAAAAGAACCTTTCGGTGTCTGTCCAGTGAAAACAACAAAATGAAGAGAAAGCTTACTCGGGAGGGTGGTGAGAACGATTGAGGTTAGGCAATCACAGGGGAAAGCCACTTTTATTGCATAGGAAAGAGAGAAGGGAATTCTGAAATGGGAGAGTAGGTAGGAAATGTGGAGTCAGGGAGACAGAATGAGACAGAACAAAGATACACAAGTGGGGAGTTCCCTGGCAGTCCAGTGGTTAGGACTCCGTGACTTCATTGCCGTGGGCCCAGGTTCAATCCCCTGTTCGGGGAACTAAGATCCTGCAAGCTGCGTGGCAGCAGCCAAAAAACAATTTTTTAATAAAAAAATAAATTAAAAAAATGAAGATACACAAGTGAAGAGTGAGAACTGATGAAAACTAGAAGCAAGGAGTATGAAGAGGATACGGAGTTGGAAGGATACCCGACTAGGAGCCAGGAAAAAAGAGAAATGAGCCAGTAGAAAATATTGTCAATACGATGGGTGACACATCAACCTCTGCTCTATGCCCTTAGCCAACACCCCAGCTTCCTTTTCCCTCCCAGGGCACCCGACACTTCTTTGGGAATGCTCCTCCCATCAGACAGACAGCTCCACGAGGGCACGAACAGTGTCTGTTCTGCTTACTGCTGAATCCCAAGCACCTAGCACTGGAGGCACTCAATAAATACAGCTGGATGAGCACACGAAGTATCCCTCCTTCGATCAAAAAAATGGGGGAAGTATCAACTAGGAAACTAGGCCAAAGAACAATTACAGGGAAGATATAAAAGATCCTATTTTAAAGCAGTTGCTTCCCAGGTTCGGAGTGCTATTGGATGGCTTTCCCCCAAGAGGCAGTCACCAAGGAGAATGGGATCAAACTGGCTGAGGAGACAGCTGAGCTCGACCCAGACCATAAAGACACCATGAGCTTCATAAGCTTCTATTCCATGTTGGAATAGGTGACAGCAGCTGTTAATGTGAATGACAAGTAGCTGGGCTTGGGGACACCAAAGGCATAATTTAAAAATAAACACTTTGGCCAGTCTTCGAGTTTTCTGAAGAATATTAATAAAAGCCTTTAAGTTCACAGCACAGTTAACAGTGATCTTATCCTTACAGAAGTCATGTGAGCAGATTAAAAAAATAAGTACAAGCAGGAAAATTATTCAGCCTGATTCATAACTAAATTACTGAAAATGAATACAGCAAAGAATTCTCTTCTGCTTACACAATTTGCTAAAAAAAAAAAAAAGTTTGATAGTCCTGGAAGAAATTTAGTACAACTGATACTCTCATATGTGGTATAATTGTTTTAAAAAGCAATTTGGCCATATGTATCAAGAACCATAAAAATGTCCTTGACCTTTCATCCACTAGTCCCACTTTTGGGCATCTATTATAAGGAAATATTCCCAAGTATAAAACAAGGCATAAGCACAGTTATCAGGACAAAAGAGAAAAAAAATTAGAATTTCACCTGGGGAACAGTTGTGTAGACCATGATGTTTCTACACAATGCCAGGTTGTCAAAAATAACAAACAGGAGGGCCAAGCAACGCTGGAAAATGTGTGTGTCTAATATTTGATTGTACCCTATGAGTAGCCCTATATAAAAAAGGCTTATGGAAAAAAAAAAAGGAGGCATACTAAGTAATAACAGTTCTACTAGTTAGGATGGTGGGATTATGGGTGATTTTTTTCCCCTCCCACTTTCTTTCCCCCAAACTTCCTGTACAGTTGACCCTTAAACAACACGGGTTTGAACTGCAAAGGTCCGCTCATATGCAGATATTTTTCAATAAATATGTACTACAGTCCTACACAACCCACAGTTGGTTGAATCCGAGGATGCGGAACAGCAATACGGAAGGCTGACTGCAAAGTTACGTGTGGATTTTGGACTGCGAAGGGGTCAGCACCCCTAATCCCTCTGCTCTTCAAGGGTCAACCATACTATTATTACTTTAGCATTTTAAAGTAAGTGAAATAACTAAATTGGGAAAAGGGGGAAGAGGGAAGAAGCACGTTAAGAGAGCCAAAGTCCTCACTTATGAAATAGAAAGTCAACAGATAATGTCTAAAATTCATGGGTCAGGCAACAGCCGTATTATTTTAAAATGTGGAATTATCAGAAGAAACAGGTAAGATTGCCGAGAGCAGCACCTCTGGGGAAAGAGAAGTGGGGATGGTGGGGAGGGCATAGAGTTTTGCCAATTAATCTGACAATTAATTAAAGTACAACTGATACAGACATAGAGAACAGGCTGGTGGTTGCCAAGGTGGAGGGGGGTGGGGGAAGGAAGGACTGGGAGGTTGGGATCAGCAGATGCAAACTATTATGTAGAGAACGGATAAACGACAAGGGCCTACTGTAGAGCACAGAGAATTATATTCAATTTCCTATGATAAACCATAATGGAAAAGAATATCAAAAAGTATATATATGTATAACTGAATCTCAGCTGTACAGCAGTAATTAACACAACACTGTAAATCAATTATCTTCAGTAAAAAAATAAAAATTTAAAAAACCCCACAAAGTACGTGATAATAAAATAGACGGTAACTCTTTGTCCCTTCCTGCTACTGCTGCCAGGATCACCACCCATCTGTCCGATAGTTCTAAGCTGATAAGGCAATTTCTGCCTCGTTTATGCTCCGAAGACAAACTGCTCACACCTACATCTTTGGGATTTCTCTCTGAAGTGGCGCTTGAGGTGCTCGATCAGGTGGGAGTGGCGCCCGAAGCTCTTCCCGCACTCGGGGCAGCCGTAGGGCCTCTCCCCGCTGTGCACGCTGTGATGCTGGACCAGGTGTGAGCTGACACGGAAGGCCTTCCCGCACACCTGGCACTTGTAAGGCTTCTCGCCGGTGTGCACACGCTGGTGCTGGGTGAGGTGCACGCGCTGGTTATAGCTTTTCCCACACTCCCCGCACTTAAACGGTTTCTCTCCCGTGTGGATTCGCCGGTGCTGGATGAAGTTGGAGGCCTGAAGGAAAAATTTCCCGCAGTCGTTACATCGGTGCCCTCTCTCGCCATTGGTGTTTGGCTTCCGGTTCACGTCTGTGATGGCACCGAGATCTCTTTTCTGGGAAGGGGTCTGCCTTGATTTCCCCATGGGGGCGTTGACCTGCCACCTTTCTACCACGCTGTGAGGGTCGCTAACTCCTCCAAACTCTTGACTCGGGGGGACATTTCTTTCAGGGCTTCCTGAGGTCATCCATGGCGATGCGGCTTCATCAGAAATCTGCTTTACTATCAGTTCCACATTGTCGTTCCTGGACTCGTAATCTGAGATAATAGAGGGAAAATGGAAACAGTAGCTTATTCCCCGCATTCAGAAATAGCAGATAATTACATGAAACCAACACGTGCAAGCAAGGCGTGACTTTGTAAAGCCATCTGCAAAATGACTTCACAATACAGGGATGGGATGAAGAACACTGAAGCAGGAAACTGAGGCAGGTTAGGGAAGACAGAGCCGGCAAGAATGGTTCAAGGGGATGCGACTGGGAAAGCAGTCATTCCATTTAATGACAATCACATCCTCTGGGTACAGTACATCCGTACAGTACCTGTTTGGGAACACCTGTGCCATGACAACTGTTCTCAGTAAAATCTGATACTGGGTGATGCAGCTAACCCAGTCCTCACCTTCCTCTTCTTGTTTATTCAGAGCCTGGAGAAGAAAGAGGATCTTTCTAGCTTTTTCAATCCCCAAAGAATCTCAGTTTGGTGTGAATTAGTCTAAAGGGGAAAAGGCGTTCTTTCTGTACCCAGAGAAGTTCTACAACTGTCGAGAGCTAGCCCACCACTCAGTGGTCATTGATGAACAGAGACATTTAAGAGGCTGCAATCGGTTCCCTGTGTAACTGCATCAGCAGCATGTATTTCACTCAAAACACTGACATTTAATATCGTTTGCAAGGACAAACCTTCAGTAGTTAACAAAAAATAGGGAATGCTTTTGAAAGGATAGATAGATCATGGCCTACTGAGAACTTTCCAGTAAGGCTGTTTTGTAGAAAGAAAAGTAGTTTTCAAACATTACCTAAAAATGGTATTAAGCACTAATGTTTGCAGAGTGTGTACTATGGACCAGGCACTATGCCTTCAAGTGCTTTTCAGTTTTATGGCATTTAATCCTTACAATGACCCTTTGAGGGAGATACTATTACTATCCTTTTTTGATATAGCGAGAAGTTGTAATTCTTGTACCATGAAGGCAACTTTAAATTTATTTTCTAACTATTTTTACTTAATTCTCTTACTAAAAAGACATTTTAAGAGTGAAAACAAACATATAAACAAAAGAACTCTATCACAAAACCAAACTTTTTAGATGTTTTTTCCTCCTGCATTTAACTAGGCAAGTAATCTCAGCTATCACAATATTTCTTTTTCTTTTATTCTCATTTACTTATGTCCACACATTTTATTCTTATTAGAGCTCTCTCCCGTTCAGCAAGGCAAATAAGCTCATGGCTTTCTTTTTCCAGGGGTGAATTTGAAAAAAATCAGATGAGCTCCATGTATCTCTTTGGGACTATTCACAATCGCCCATTTCCAGAGAAGGTGATGATACAGGTTGAGATACCAGTTGGCTTACAGGTTTTTTTTTTCCTCTTTCCCCTCCCCTTCTCTGAGTCCATGAGGAGCTTTCAGTTGATTCTCCTGATTTATTTGTATGTTTGACAGAGAGCTGTGTTCCTTGTTCAACACTATGCCCGGCTGCTTAGTAATGCATTGGGGGCGGGGGGGTGAGGAGGGAGTTGGTTCCAAAACACCCAATCAGCAGATTCGGTGCTTTACAAATTCACGCTTTTCAACCTCACTGGTACTCCACACTGGTATCCTACATTTCTAAGGCTGGCTAGTTTCCCACTCATTCTTCTCAGCAGCTACATCAAAACGTCTTCATCGTGATCTCCAAGATAGATCACTGTATTTAAAAATAAAAGAGTGTTTTGGCACAAACTTGTCTACACACAGACTGTGTCTAGAGATGCAATCAGGAAGCTTAACTAACCGTCACTGCCTCTGTGCAGGAAACTGAGGGACTGAGGGTCGGGAGACTCACTTCTCACTTTAAACCCACTTAAACTATTCGGATAATTTTTACCATGTGCGTGCGAACCAAAGTCCTCGCTGCACTCAAACCTCTGCTCCACCACCCACTCCATCACTTGCTCACTTGCAACAGGTGACTCTTTCTCCTATTTCAGGGAGAGTCTAAACTATCCAGTCAAGACCTCCTTGGACATCCTACAACCACAAGTGTCAGCTTGCTGGCAGCCTGATTCTCCCGTCCTCCCCTTGCCTCACAGCAGAAGAGCTGACCCTCCCCCTCACCAAGGTCAATCTTTCCTCCCGAAGGGGCCTCACCAGGCCATTCTGTTTTCCAGGGACCTCCCTGCACCAATTATCTGCTCTTCCTCACTCTAGCATTTCATACTCACTCCCCACCAGCCCTCGCCCAGTGACATTTCAGTGTGCTTAAAACTTCTCCCGTTAACAAAGACAACATACAAAAACCACCCATCCATCTACACCAGGTACGCTGTCGGTGACCAGCCCTCTTTTGCTTCGCCTTCACAGACAATGTTCTTGAAAGTTTATCTACAATAGCTTTCTCAAATTCTCTCCTGTGCAATCTTCCAAGAAACTGTCTCTTGTTCTCCAACTTCCCAGCCACTCCATTGAAACGGCTGTCTCCACGATTCATTCACTAATTTTTAAAAATCTCACTTCTAAATTTGATGGACACTTTAAAAATCGTGACCATCTCTGATGCTGTTAGGAACCCACAGGATGAAAATTCTCAAATGTGGTCTTCCCAGAGAAGCTGAAGAGGCAGAAACCACTGAACATGTTCTTAGTGCAGAAGAGTTTACTCAAGTTGTCAAGATATTTTAAGAAAAAGATGAATAACGAGAAAAAAAAAATCAGGACTTCCCTGGCGGTCCAGTGGTTAAGACTCCACGCTTGCACGGCAGCGGGCGCGGGTTTGATCCCTGGGCTGGGAAGTTCTACATGCCGCGCAGTGCGGCCAAAAAAAAAAAAAATCAGAAAGTAACAATTCAAAACCCCTTGGAGAATATGGTACAGAAAAACTGCGGCTCTGCAACTCTGAAACCCATTAAATACCTATAAAGTAATAATCAACTCAAATCAGACAAGAAAGGTATTTGAAATTAATTTTAAAAGAAAATGAAAAAAATTTGCATTAAATATGATAATACTTATACTACATAAATAATTCCTTGAGACCACCACTAAGATCCCAATAGATAAATAAGCAGAGGGCATATGCAAATAAATCAAAGGAAACACAAATATGTATCAACAGTAATAAAGGAAATGGAAAATTTGAGAGAGAAGTCAATTTTACTTTTTAAACAAAAGCCTGTGAGTGAACTAAACCCTTAACGATACAAACTGAGATAATATTTTTCAAAAGAAATTTGGCATTATAGTATATGTATTCCATCTAAAGTCTACTTGACAGTGATTGATAGTGTGCTTGATAGTGTGCTTGATAGTGATTCTTCCAAAAGAATTCACTCAAAAGAAGATAAAATTCGTAAGCTTCAAGATGTCTGCCACAGTGCTGAGATTTTTTACAATTGCTCCAGGCAGCAAAATCAAATATTAGTTTCCAAGATCATAACTTAGAAATAGGTTCAAAATCTTATCTGGGGTGCAAAATTCAAGAAGGGATAAGATGTGTAAAATGCAGATGCCAAGGCAAACGTCATAAAACAAGTACCGGTGATGTGAGAATGGTAACAGAGTGAACAAGTTGCCACCCATGCATGAGAGGAAAGGAAAAGAATGAATGCTACTGAGACACTGTAATCACTACTTCAAGGACCGGTTATTCAGCAAGGTCTGAGATGCTTTCACAAATGAGAATTAGTCAGTTAACAATGATTCAGTTTGTCAAGGAACAGAGTACAATCACTACTACAACTCTGTTAAGATCCAATCCTGTTAGTCTTGAGCTAAATATAACATTTGCTGGATTACAAATACTATCCCCAAAGCATTATCAGTCCTCAATCTTACTCTTATTATGATGAAGATAATCAGAGTAAGCTGAATAAGAAAAAAAGAAAGAAAGAAAAAAAAAAGAGTGAAGGGTGATTTACTCTTTCACAGACAAAAAAAATACGCAAAGTCACAGTGATTAAAACATACATGCTTTTACAGGATGTGCTATAAATATTCTTAATAACAAAATGAAGATGTCCTAATCCATGCAGACGAAATCATTCTTACCCATGGAAGTAATACTCCCATAATTCTCCTTCCTGTCATCCCTATAGAGGGACTTCTGGGACTGGTCCAAATGTCCCCATTCCTCCAGGATGAAGGATACAGCCACGTCAGCCACATCTTCAATTTTCACCAACTTCTGAAACACGAGATCTCCACTAAATTCCCATTCCCTAGGTTCAAATTTGGAGCGAGGGGAGGAACTGGGAGCCTTAAGGAAAGAAAAAGGGGAGGGACTTGCTTCACAGAGGATGGGGGAGCAGAACAGAAAAAGACAGAAAAGCACAAACCCAAGATGGGCCCGGTCTCTGGTTAAAGAGACAGAACCCTGATAAAGACTCAGGCTTAAGGCAGCTACTTGTCCAAAATCAGACGTGGGTCCTCAATGTGGGCACAGGGACACCGGCTCACCTGGGACCCAGCTGAGAGAAGTGAGGCTGTCAGCTCCTGGCTGTCCTTCAGGGGAAGGGAGGGAACTTGGAGAGCAGGAAGGGCTGAGGGGGGGAGAAAAAGAGGTGTCAGTGAGAATCCCTCTACCCAGTTCCAATTGCCATCATGTTCCGCTTTTGCTCAAGAATCCACAATGGCACCCTGTGGCATCAAGACCAAATTCTTCTGCTCAGCCTTCAAGACACTCTACATTCTGGGCCCCCCACACCTACCCTATACTCACCCTTCCCCTGAAAAAAACTAGACTCCCTGTGTTGGTCAGGCTAATCCTGCTGCTGACTGGGGATGGTACCATTCCCCCATAAAGGATGCTCTCTGCTCTGCCCAGGTCAAACCTAGTCATCTCAAAGAACCTCCAAAGGCCCACTCTTCCGTGAAGCTGAAGCGCTGCCTAGAGCCAGGACTTCCCAAGCTCTAATGTGCAAACAAATCCCCTGGGGTTCTTGGTACAGGGCAGACTCTGCCTCAGGTGTTCCAGGGCAGCCCCCATGTTCTGCATTTCTAACAAGCTCCAAGGTGATGCTGCTGGTGCTGCAGCGCTTTGGACCTCACTTTGACCAGCAAGGCCTTAGTTCACGTTCTCTCCCTTCAAAAAATGACTGCAGTTGGTTTATAGTCAGCCAACTAGCTTGTATTAAGTCTACTCTGTGTGTTCAAAGAATAGGCAGATAAAACAATTCTTGCCTTCTAAAACCTCACCGTCTGATGGGGAGGGCAGACATGGAAGCTTTACTCCTGGCACAGGGTAAAGAGTATTATCCTCAAAGTTCACCCAAGTTCCTGCAGGAACACAGAGGCAGGGGCATCTACAGAGTGGAGAGCAGGAGGTAGGAGCACCCGGAAAGCCCTTCCACAGGAAGTGACTCTGGAGGCAGGGGTGGGGTGGGATGAGGCGGGATGAGGGTGCTTTCTGGGTAGAGTGAATCACATGTGCAAGGCCCGGAGGGTCTGGTCTCTAGATGCTAGTGAACATTTGACCCTCTGCTGTCACCTCTGCTCTCCTCTGTCCAAGATTCATGGTGCATCCGGATCTGTCTACATGCACCCTGACTTGGAGATCCACCTGGTATCAACCTTTAACACGACGATTTAGACCTCTCTATGGTGTCCCCGGTCCCAGAGATGTATGTGCATATGTAGCTTGCTTGTGTCCAAGGACTGGGAAGTAAGGAGCAAAGACCCAAAATAGAAGAGATCGTGGTTAGAAATGAAAGCCAAAAAGAGACACGGGATCTGAACCCAGGAGTGTGGTTACAGTCAAAGTAAGACGTGAAAGAGAGGGATGAACATAGTCTATACACAAACAGTAATTATGTTCCAGTCATAATTGGAATAATGAGAATAATTACATTCTAAATAATCCCACTTATTTTTTTTGAAGTTCCTGTGAAACCTGTTGTTTCTAACTTTTTTTTTTTTTTTTTTTTTTTTTTTTTTT